GTCTCCGCCGCCGCTGCCATCGCCGTCGCCGTCCCCGTCGCCGCCATCGTCGTCGTCGTCCTCATCCTCCTCCTCCTCCTCAGTGCCGCCGTCCTTATCGCTTGTCTCATCTGGATTATGCTCTTTCTCCTCCTCTTCGTTCCTTCCCTGTAGTCCTCCTCTTCCTCCACCTTGTGCGCCTTCTCCTACTCCTCCTCCTCCGCCGCTCCCCGTCCATCCTCGTCCTCAGCATGGGCTAGATGTTCCAGGGTCCGTCTTCGAACGTCAAGTAGCATGTTGGAGCCCTTGGGTTCGTGTCGGGAGCTCCTTGAGAGACCTCTTCGGAAAGTCTCAGAAGCTTTCTGGGGACGTCTCAGAGTCCTTGGGAGATCTTCGCTCCCTCTTCTAGGGCACCACGGTGCCTTCTTGGATGCATATTTGGCCGTCTTGGGGTGCACTGTTGGTGATAGTTGGGGCCTCTTGGGCCATCGTGGACCCCCTGAATGCCAGAAAAGCGTTGATGTGAACACCATTTCTGCAAGGGGCAACTATTAATGTTACCTACTGGCGGTCTCTTTGGGGCTCTCTTGGCTCCCGCTCGGGATACCTTGGGACCGCCTTGGGCACAGCTTAGGCCGTCTTGGGGCGAGATGCGGGGCCGCGTTGGCCATATTGGACGCCCTGAATGCTGAAAAGGCAATGCTGAGAAAATTCTAGGACAACCTGAGGAGACCTTGACACAACGTGCCTCCTGGCAGCATCTTGGGGGCTCTCTGGGAGCATTCTGGAAGCGTCTTGGAAGCCCCTTCGGCCGTCTTGAATCCATCTGGAGCCGTCTTGGAGCCTAAGAGGTCCTGGAGCCATCTTGAGCGGTCCTGGGAGCATCCTGGCGCCTTTGAGGGGGGAGATGCCAAGGGCTGCATGGCAAAATTTCTAACACATTCCAGGGCACCCCTCCCTCCGCGGGGCGTCTACACCGCATCGCCCTGTTACCAAGCGCCTCCCTGGGACTCCCCGAGACTTCCATGACGGCACGGGAGGCCCCCGAGACGGTCGAAGGGGGCCACGAGTCACCGAACGATCGCTCGACCACGCCCAATATGGCCTTGAGATGGCCCAAGAGGCCTCCAAGACACCCCAAGAGAACTCCAAGAGGCCTCCAAAGAGGGACCCAAGGGGCAACAATCATTGATGTGCCCTAGCGTTTTGAAAGATGTTGGGCGTTCCCGACTTTTCGGCTTCCCGACGCTCCAAGACGGCCCAAGAGGCCTCCAAGACCACCAAAACAGCCCAAGAGGCCTCCAAGAGGCCTCCAAAAGGGCCCCAAGACTGCCTGAGAGCACCCCACGACTGCCCAAGACGCGCCCAAGACGGTCCAGGAGGGCCCCAAAAACACGAACCGAAACTCAGAGCCTTCCACCCAAAGGGGCCCCCAGGAGACCCCACGAGGCCCCCAAGAAGCCCCAAGAGGCCCCCAAGAGGCCCCCAAGAGGCCTCAAGAAGCCCCCGAGAACAAAAAAGAGACACCAAAACGGCCCCGAAGAGGCTTCAAACTGCTCCACGAGGCCCCCGAGAGGCCTCCCACGAGATTCCAACGAACATCCAATAGGCTTCGTACCCGCAATTCAGGCATGGCAGCGGGACTTGCCGTGGACAGCTGCGTATATGTGTATGTGTATATAGATACTATATATATATATATACACATGTATGTTATCATACGCACCTCGCCAAAGGAATAGAACTCAGAGGCGATACACTCCCGTCCCGTTCTAGATTGTTCTGGCCGTTTCGCTCCTGACATCCTCACCATTCTGAAAATCGGTGGCACCCCTCGCGCAGATCGCGACGTCAGGGTCACGAACGTATGTACTATTCAACAGTGTATCAAGCAATCCTCCAACCACAATGTGAATTAAATAATGTGGAAATCGAATATTTGAAAACTGTAGCTACGCCTGAGACATCCGCCAAACATGGGGCCCCGTTGCAAAACACATTTTAACGCCAAAGCAGTTACGCCTGTCACACCCTCCCAAAAAAAAACCCAGGCGTAGAACACACAGAAAACACAGAGAGCATACAGAACGCATACGTACACACGCACACACACACACACCACACCAAACACACCACACACAACACACACAGAACACACGACCACCTACAACACACAGAGCGTAAACAGAGAACACGCACACACACACACACACCACACACACACGCACACACACAAACACATCACACACTACACACCCAACGCAGGCACCACACACACACATACGCAACGCACGCACGCACGCACGCACGCACGCACGCACACACACATTCACACACACACACACACACACGCGCGCGCGCGCGCGTACACACACACACACCTACACACGCCTAACACACTTACCACGCAGCACACACATGCATGATCCACACATAGCTCACACGCAACACACAACACACGCACACAAGATGCGAAATATATGGCACAAGCCCTACACACCACACGCGCACATCCTGGACATGTGGTTGTATGCAAATGCCAAATCTATACATACAGTCCTATGCATATGTGTTATATCTCTCTCTATATGCGTATGTCGTCCTATACATATAACAGTGTAGATGCACGGGCAAATCTATGGTTGCACATTGCATGGTTACAACACATCGGTACTAATACGTGCACATGCACGTACATTTACTTATCTCTGGTGCCACACTCTATAGTCATCTCTCTCGCGTTATCTCTCTCTTTCTCTTTCGCGTTCTCTCTCTCTCTCTCTCTCGCTGTGTCTCCACATAAGTAAACCCGCATATGTGTATACATATCTCTGTCTGTCTGTATGTCTCGTTCTCTGTATGTTGTCATGCCCCTCTCTATGTAGATACATCCCTCTTTCGTGTATATCGATTTCGACCTACATACACGCCCCACAACAGGTATATACAGGTGTACCGGTATAACAGGTGTATCGATATCATCAGTACGATTGGTCTGCTAGCATGTGTCGTGCATGCGTGCCGTTCGTTGGACCAATCGGTATCGTTTCACTGGCGGCCTCCTTCGTGGTCGCCGGACCTCTTCGAAAGCGCGGGCTCAGCGAGATACCCTGTACAGGAAGCAGCCTTCCTCGCACGGGCGTGGAGCGCTAACGGGGGGCTGGGAGACACGGCTTGCGTGTGTCTACCCGCCGACCGCCGCCCCTGCTTGCATCCGTTTCCTGCGAGCCACGCGGCACAGGTCTCGGGTCCCGGCACCGTGTCGGCCCGAGGGGGGACCTCACGACGCACGAGGGGGACCCGCGACTGCTCTGCCACACGCAGCCACAATGACAGCCACCCATCTCGGGCGCACCGAGAACCGAGGAGCGGGGAGCAAGAAGGGGGATGAGGGAGGAGGAGGAGGAGGAGAAAGAGCAAGGCGAAGGAGGGAGGCGGGAGAACGTGAGGTGGAAGAGAGGGAGGAGTAGTGATGCAGGGAGGAGGAAAAATGAGAGGCACAGAGGAAAGGAGGCGCAGAAGAAGAAGAAATGGAAACCTGCGCAGCGGGAGGCAGGACGAAACGGGACGGAGCAGCCGGAGAAGGAGGAGGTGGAGCACACAGATGGAGGATGTATCTGGTCGCGGGGGTTCCCCGTCATGCTCATCCCCGCGCTCGCAGCGGTGGCTGACTACCTACCAGACCACCCCAACCCAACCCGAAGACCCGAATTGGACCCCAATTTCGGGTTGGGGGCGGTACGGATCCCATGTGTTTTTTCAACGTTCCCCGACCTCCCCCCCACTGGAAATCGAGGATAAATTGAGGGCTTCGGGTTGGGTTGGGGTGATTTGGTGGGTGGTGAAAGGCAGGGCGACGTGCCACGGCGACGGGCACCGGAGGATCGGGTGCTGGCGGGCCCTGCTGCCTCTCTGGGGCGCTGGGTGCTGCCCGCGCGGTCTGGAGACAGGGGCTGCAACGGTCGGCCCGCACCGCTGCTACCCTGGCCTTCCAGTCGTCCTCCTCCTCCTACTCCTCCTCCTCCTCCTCCTCCTCCTCCTCCTCCTCCTCCAGACATCCTCCGGTACACCCCTGCTCAGAGCGAACATAATCACTCGAAGCGTTTTCTTACACAGCACGCCAGGTCTATATATATGTATAAATACGAACAGTCCACCGCTAAAAGAAGCTCCAAGAGAATGCCCAGGGCCCAGGCCAGATCCTTGATTCTCGCAAGCGGCATCTGGAATCCATGGACATATCGGCTTTCTCGAATTGAAACACTCTGATGGGTGTACGGTGTTGTTCAATCCGTGGCCCCAGAGCTCACGACCCCTTTCCCCGCGGGGCAGCGTTGCGTCTCGGATCCCCCGCTGGCGGCCCCGGGGCCCGAGAGCGCGGAGGCCGAAATGAAAGAGAAGCGCCCAGATTGCAAAGAACATCCGACCAGCCATAACTGGGGGAGCTGTGGTCCTTACCCCCCTGGGGGAACCCATCGCATCGAGGATCTCTCGAGAGGGGTGTCGAAATCGATGGGTCCCCCAGGGGGGTAAGGACCACAGCTCCCCCAATTGTAGCTGGCCTGAACATGGGGGAAACGGGTCCTGAGGGAAACGGGTGCTGGACCCTAGGTCCTTCCCCCAGGACCAGCTCTTCATCCTGAGTCGAGTTCTGATCGTCCTGGGGCCCTCAAGAGGGCCCTAGGGCCCGAAAACGGCGAAACACCTGAGGATCAATGTTTCCTTCTTTCCACCCTGGCGATCGGAGGCCTCTGGGGCCCCTCGCAGGAGGCCCCTGCCTTCTCAGAAGCTTCTGGGGCCCCTCTGAGAAGGCCCCTGCCTTTTACTACGAGACGCTTCGCGTGATTTCTTTCTTGTTTTTGTATGTTTGACGTTATGTCTATGGTTTTGGAGGGGGGGGGGTCGAAGCTCTCCGCCCTATTGGCATCTGGCCCCTCGTGCGCCACCCTCCCCGCTGTGCGCGCCGCCAGGCACAGGAGGGGGGCTCCCCGGGCGGGGCCCCCCGCGCAGGGCGCGGGAGCCGGTCGAAGAGCTCCCACACCGCGCCGCGCGGCTGGTGGACCGTGACCAGCACGATCATGCCGCCGTCGGCCACCGCCTTCAGCGCCTCGCCGCGCGTGCCGGGCTCGGCGTCGCGCGGGCGTCCGTTCCCGGATCACTGCTCGAAGCCGCACTCCGGATTTCGTAATAAAAGGGAGGGGGTCTGGACCCTCCAAGACAAGCCATTTCAGACCTCCCCCGTGGAAGAACCCTCCAAAACATCGTCCCCAGACCCCCCCAGGCCCTCCAAGATAGCCCGGAAGAGACCCCCCCCCGAAATGAGACCCCCCTCCCTTTATTACGATTATTATAAAATCTGGAGTATGCTTCGCCGGATGCTCCAAGGCGCTCCTCGGTGATCCCCGCCGGGGAAGCAGTGTACACGTCCGAGCGATGCCAAACAGGGGGGGCAGCGGCTGGAGCAGCCCTGCTCCCGCTGCTGCTGCCGCTCGTGCTGCCGCTCCTGCTGCCGCTCGTCGCCCCCCCTGCCTAATTACGTGCCTTCCCTCCCCCCTCCTGATGTCTCTCTCTCTCTCTCTCTCTTTCATTTTTTTTTTTCTCTCTCTCTCTCTCTCTCTCTTCTCTCTCTTCTCTCTCTCTCTCTCTATTTCTCTCTCTCTCTCTTTCTCTCTCTCTCTCTCTTTTTTCTCTCTCTCTCTCTCTCTCTCTCTTTTTCTCTCTTTCTTTCTCTCTCCTCTCTCTCTCTCTGGAAGACTGGAAGCATGCGCGTGTGCTTGCAGAAAGCTGGCCTCCTAACAAGGGTGCGCCGGTGCAGTCTTGGGACATGCGCCCTCTGCAGCTGCATTTACACTCGCCTCCCCATCCTTGGCTGGACTGCGCCGCAGATCTGTCTTCTCTTCCTTCCTCCTCGTGCTCCTTCCTCCTCCTTCCCCTCCCCCTCCTCCTCCTCCTCCTCCTCCTCCTCCTCCTCCTCCTCCTCCTCCTCCTCCTCCTCCTGCTCCTCCCCCATCCTCCTCCACCTCCTCCTTGCTCCTCCCTCATCCTGCCCCGTTGCCCTGCTCCGTCTCCCTGCTCCTCCTCCCCCTCCTGCCGCCCCCTCCTGCCTCCTGTCTCCTCCTCCTCCTCCTCCTCCTCCTCCTCCTCCTCCTCCTCCTGGCCCTTGGCGGGGAAAGCTGCCAGAGATCCGCAAGCGTGCAGCGAGGCGCCTTCGAGCTCTCGACAGTGACGCCAGGAATCATCGTGAGCTTCCTGGCGTTTCTTTGCGCGCCCGGGGCGTGTCGCAAGGCCAGACCTGAGGCCTCGAAAACGCGGCGGGGAGTCCAAACTTCCAACATGCCCTACGAGGTTGCCAGGGGCGGGTCCCGAGACCCTCTTGAGAGCATCTTGGGCCGCATGGGAGGCCCTGGGCGCCAGTCCTTGCTGGCTCGGCATGTTCGCCTCTTCGGTGCATAGAGCGTCCCAAGACGGCCCGAAAGGCTCCGAGGATCGCTCCAGGATGGCCCCCAAGCCCCCACGAGGGGCCCAAAGGCTCCGAGGATCGCTCCAGGATGGTCCCCAAGCCCCCACGAGGGGCCCATGAGGCCTCCAGGAAGGCTCCAAGAGGGCGAGAAGCGGCCCTCAGGGCCCTGCACCCTAACGTGGCCCCCGAGACCGCCCCCAGGCCCCCAAGAAGCGCCCCTCGAGGCTCCCGAGAGGTCTCCAGGCGGGCCCCAGCTCGGCCGCCGCACACGCGGCAAGTCCGCGCGGGCTACCGGGAGGTGCCGTACGGCCGGGAGCTTTCGCGCAGCGTGTCGCGGCGGCAGCCCCGGCGACACCCTGCGCCGTGCAGTCTGACGGCGTGCCGCGCTGCTCCACGGGGCGGGAGCCTTCGACAGGCCCGGGGACCAGGAAGTGGTCAGCGAGTCGCGCCGAAGCGCGGTGGGCCAGAGCCGACGGCGCGACCCGCTGAGCCGAAGCTCCCGAGCGTGTATGCCGCGTGCGCCTCTGGAGCGGCAGCAGTGGCGAGCAGGGCATCGGTCCGGATGGGAAGCGACGGCAGATCGGTGCCTGGACCCCTCCTGGGGCTCAAGCGCCCAGTTCTCTCCGAGCTGTGTCCAGCCGCAGCGGCGGGACGGACGGACGGACGGCGCGCGCCGAGTCCGCCGGCCGGTCGGCCAGCGGGCCCCCTAGAGGGGCAGCGCGGGTGGGCCGGGGCCCGGTCGCCGCACTTGCTGGACGGGGGCGAGTGTCTCAGCGGAGTCGGAACCGTAGTCGGAGAGATGGGAAGGGACCAAGAGTCGGAAGAATTATCCCAGTGCGACCCTACCTAGGAGTTGGAACCCCTAGGAAAGCAACAGTAGTAGTAACAGTAAAGCTAAGCTAAAGCTGAGCTAAAGCTAAGCTAAAGCTAAGCTAAAGCTAAAGCTAAGCTAAGCTAAAGCTAAGCTAAAGCTAAAGCTAAAGCTAAAGCTCAAGCTAAAGCTCCCAGGGGACTGGGGGAACCGCTCCTAGGGGACTGGGGGAACCGCCTGGGGCGAGTTGCACTGCCTGGCCCCTTTAAGAAAGAGAGTAAGAACCCTCTAGGCAGAACCTAGATAGGGAAAAAGAGGAGCCGGAGTCGGAACCTGCACAAGACCTTCTCATGCCACACGCTTGCGATGCCACGTGGTGGGATTGATGCTGGTCTAGAGACTGCAAGTGAGGAATAAGCCGCCGTTCAAATGCAACCGCTTGTTCCCGAAGCCATTCCTGCCAGGAGAAATAATCAGGAGAGTCTGTGAATGAGGAATAAACCGCCGTTCAACTGCAACCGCTTGTTTCCGAAGCCATTCCTGCCAAGAGAAATAGCGTAGCACCCCGCAGATGCGGATAAGAGTGAGGGAGCGGTGGGGACGTCGGCAGCCTGCGAGACTCTGGAGAAGCACGCCGCAGGCGCCAAAGCTTCACAAATTACACAACGAGCCCGCTGCAGGCGCCGATTTTCTGTTCAAATCAGTGTGGATCGGTCGCGGGTGGGTCGCGGGTGGGTCGTGGGATGGGTCGCGGGTGGGTCGCGGGTTGGGTCGCGGGTGGGTCGCGGGTGGGTCGCGAGTGGGTCGCGGGTGGGTCGCGGGTGGGTCGCGGGTGGGTCGCGGGTGGGTCGCGGGTGGGTCGCGGGGTGGGTCGCGGATGGGTCGCGGGTGGGTCGCGGGTGGGTCGCGGGGTGGGTCGCGGGTGGGTCGCGGGTGGGTCGCGGGGTGGGTCGCGGGTGGGTCGCGGGGTGGGTCGCGGGTGGGTCGCGGGCAGGTCTGGGTGGGGACGACGCAACAAAACAACAACAAAACAACAACAATAATTAATCCTCGCCGTGAATCCCGCTTCAGCCACGCACCCAGGGACAGTGAATGACCGTTCGGGCCCCCCCACTCTGACCTATACAACCATCCTTCGGGTGATAAGGAGGTTGTGTGGGGGGGAGGGGGGGAACCACCATCTGGCTCAATCGATCTCACTATCGATCTCACTCAACGGGACACCACGGGACACCACGGGACGCTTGTCGATCTCACTATCGATCTCCCTATCGATCTCACTTTTTGGGACACCACGGGGCACCACGGGCTTCCACGGGGCACCACGGGACACCGCGGGACACCTCTCGATCTCACTACCGGTCTCACTATCGATCTCACTATCGATCCCACTCAATGGGACACCATAGGACACCACGGGGCACCACGGGACACCTCGGGACACCACATCGATATCACTATCGATCTCACTATCGAAATCACCATCGATCTCACTCAACGGGAAAACACGGGACACCACGGGAGACCCGTCGATCTCACCTCGCTATCGATCTCACTATCGGTCTCACTTTCTGGGACACCACGGGACACCTCGGCGCACCACATCAATATCAGTATCGATCTCAACATCGATCTCACTATCGATCTCACTCAACAGGACACCACGGGACACCACGGGACACCACGGAATACCTGTCGATCTCACTATCGATCTCACTTTTTGGGACACCACGGGACACCTCGGGGCACCACATCGATCTCAGTATCGATCTCAGTATCGATCTCACTATCGATCTCACTCAACGGGACACCACGGGTCACCACGGGACACCACGGGACACCACGGGACACCGCGAGCCACCGCCGGACGGACGGACGGATGGGCGGGCGGGGGAGAATCATTCATCTTGATTTCGCCCTAGCAACGGCGGACACCGCGGGACACCACGGGACACCGAGGGACACCGCGAGCCACCGCCTGACGGGCGGGAGGGGGAGAATCATTTGCCTTGACTTCGCCCTAGCAACGGCGGACACCACGAGACATCACGGGACCCCACGGGACACCGCGGGCCACCGCCGGACGGGCGGGAGGGGGAGAATCATTTGTCTTGACTTCGCCCTAGCAACGGCGGGTTCATTCCTCTCGCGCGCCCACGCAGCTTCGCCTCGCCCGCACGCACGACACGAACGAAACGAAACGATGTCCCGGTTGGGGGTCTCCTTTCCACTGCGATCTCACCACCCAACCTCCGATCAAAATCGTGAACCGGAGTCGGAAAGACGGGAGCTGGAATCGGAGCCGGGTCGGAAAGATGGGATGGGACCAAGAGTCGTCAACAAATAAAACCGGAGTCGGAACCTGCATAAGACCTTCTCGTTCCGCACGTTTGCTGTCCCGCATGGTGGGATTGATGCTGGTCGAACGACTGTGGGTGAGTAATAAGCCACCGTTCAGATGCAACCGCTTGTTTCCGAAGCCACTCCTGCAGAGAGAAATGATCAGGAGAGGTTGATTGCAGGTCAGGAACAAGCCGCCGTTCTCAAATGCAACCGCTTGTCTCCGAAGCCAGTCCTGCCAGACATGATCAGCATCTTGTGCCAGAGCCGGGAAGACGGGAGCTGGAAGCGAAGCCCGGGGCCAGGGAGACCGCGGGCCGCCCCCAAAAGGCCAACCGCTGGTGTCCGACGCGCCCTCCTCCGCCTCCTCCTCCTCCTCCTCCTCCTCCGCCTCCTCCTCCCCCTACTGC